GAATTTTTCAACTTTTAAATTTAGTCCTTTTTTTATACCCAGCATTATAATGGATGAATACTTGGCAATAATAGTCATAAAGTAATATTCAACCTACTTGTATAATATTTTACAGTATATGCTGAATATACTTTTCTGGACATAATATAACTTGTAATCTTATTTTCTTCAAAAGAATTGGACACTGTCTATGGGCATCATTAATCAAAAATAATACACAATTGAACTTAATCTAGTTCTTTCAGTTTTGCATTTTGGAATCCACAAAATAGCTCTTGACTTTTGCAGTTCAACACATTAGCATGTCTTGTGGTTGAATGAGTATGTTTTCTTTATTTTTTTTTTTCATTAATCAGTATTTTTTATTATGGTTTTGTGGGGTACAGTTAAGGGTTAGGTGTACAATGATGTTTCATTCAGGCACCCTGTAGATAAGAAGTGTTTTCCCATCCCCCGACAGATATTTGCTACTGTTAATCCCATCCCCCTCCCCCCATAGTTTCACAGTACCATCAGTCATTTTCTTATAGTATTGCATTGGATGTTCAAGGTCCATTATATGAGTGAGAACATGTGATATTCGGATCTTTGTTGTTGTGAGAGGTCACTCAGTATTATAGACTCTAGTTCCATCCAGGTTGCAGCGAAATTCATGATTTTGTTCTTTTTTATGGCTGCGTAGTATTCCATCGTGTATATGTACCACATTTTTTTAATCCAGTCCTCTTATGATGGGCAGCATGGTTGTTTCCAGGTTCTTGCTATTGTGAACAATGCTGCGATAAACATACGACTATCAGTGACTCTTAACAGAGGAATTAATTAAGCTTGCTTCAGAGCCAAAGAGTTAACAGAACCTATTAGAATGTAAAACATTACTCACTAAACAAGGCAAAAGTATGAGCCGATGCCAAGCCACCTGTCCAACTGGCCTAAGTAACTCCACTTTTGGTTTTTACCTTTCAGCCTGATATTGCTTCTCAGTTTATCTTAAATTCTAGTGCTATCATCCTAACAAAGAGAATAACTACTCTTTGCTATTAAGCAACACTTGTAGCAAACACTATATTATTATTTCACCATACATTATTTTATTTAGTCTTCACTTATGCCTCTGAAGTTGATATCAAACCCATGTTGCAAATAGAAATACTAAGGTATCTAACCAGACATTTATTGGCTCATTCCCATTAGTCAAATCCTCATCATTGAGTTCCAAGTGCCTGTATTAAAACTCTTCACTGGTTAGCTTTGATCATCTGCGTATTTGGACACCTTGAACCTCCTATCACATCTTCATATCCAAGTGCCAGTCAAGTGTCCAAAGGACAACAAAAGAGTCTGAAGAAAGACACAGGGGAGAATAATACATGACAAAAGAAGAACTCAGAACAGTGGAGTTTTTTTAATGGCAAATCTTGAAAGAAATGTAAGAAAGGGACGCATCCAAGAAGACACTGTTTTCTAGCTAAGGAAACTGACGGTCGCAATGCTACTGATAGAAAGGGGGGAAAGAGAATTTTCTTTGGAGGAGACATTGGTCTTAGTCTTGGACTTGGTACATTAGGTAAAGCAGAGGGAATATCCAAGTAGGTAGAATTTATATATTTTTAAGGAGAGAGTCCAGAGAAGTAACTGGAGATGATGTACACTTTGAGAATTACTGGAAGAAAGTTGAAGACATGCAAGGAGAGATGAGAGAGGAAAGAAGAGCTGAGATTTAGATGAGCAAATTAAGAAGTATCCTTAAGCAGAGGCACAGAATATAGAGGTTCATTCATTGAGAGGAACCCGAGGAAGGTGGCAGTGAGCATAACATATTCTCAGGCATCAGCCAACAGCAATGGCCTCTTCAATGTCAAGCAGTGGGATCAACAGCTGGCCTACACCCTTCCCCAGGATGCCTGAAACCTAGGATAGTGCTGAACTCTATATATGGTAGCTGAGATGGCTCCTAGGAAGCAGGATACGGAGACTTGAGAGTCAGGCTTCCCTTACACTGCTGACTGTTTGTTTGCTCAGCCCCTAGTCACCTGGTTCTTCCCGCATCTAGACTGACACTTTGGAACATCTTTTCTGCTACTTCTTTTCTACCTTCCCATCTCCACCTGCATCAACAACAACAGCAAAAACCTTTTCTTTTCTTTAGTCTATTTTCTTCACAAGTCTCCTCAATGCCTTAAAGATTTGTTTAAACGTTTCTAGAAGCCAAATGATTTAGTCAGGGAAGATTTGCTCTCCTCTAATCATATCTTGCAGGTAGAACAACCCAAAATTTAGCCTCCAAGCTCCCTAAATTATCTGTCCTCATCGAACAGTTGCCAAATGCAAACGTGAAAAAGAAACTGCTCATGCCCTCCAAGTCCCGTAGTCCGCCATATCCATGAGTTTGCTTTCTGTGGTTTCAGTGGCTCTTGGTCAGCCGCAGTTCAAAAATATTAAATAGAAAATTCCAGAAATACACCATGCTCAAGTTTTCAATTGCATGCAGTTCTGAGAAGCTTGAAATCTTGTCCCAGTCTCACTTTGTCCCACCGGGGATATCGATCATTCCACTGTTCAGCATATCCACACTGTGTACACTATCATTAGTCACCCAGTAGCCATCTCAGCTACCATATATAGAGTCCGGCACTCTCCTAGATTTCAGGCACCCACTGGGAGTTTTAGAATGTATATCCATGGGTGAGGAGGGACTACTGCCTATACATATGCGATTGAGATTTTGAATTTATTTTGGTGTCATGCTGTTTCTGGGACTGGAAACTGCTACTAAAGGTCACAAAACATATTTGCTTCTCTCTCTGCTTCTTAAATCAGGTATATGCTTTCATTCTCAATTTTTTGCTGTTTCCCAAAAACGTGTCATATAATGATGTTTGTATGATCTGTAACATTTCAATAGCTTACAGATGTGTTTTGAACTTTCAGGACAACGTAATGCTGGACATTGGTTTTGTAGATGGGCGCATATTTTTGTTGCTCATTGCAAACTGCATTTCTCCTTATATTGGCATGAGCAGCATCAGCGATTATAAAGTAAGAGAAACAGAGAGAATGAGAGTGAGACTGAGAGGGGGGGAGAGGAGAATAAGGGAGACAGCAGGGAGGGAGGAGTTTGGATTGATTGAGTTTATCTGACTTTAGTAGTCAAAATTTTATTGAATCACACACAGGATTGTCCTTCTGTAAATGTGTTCACTCATACATTATATTATTCTAATGGATTCTGGTAAACACATGATTTGAAACAGGTCAGAAAGTTTATGACTTAATACAATAAAATTGCCTCAACATTCATGGGAATCAGGCTAAATCAGCTTCAGAGATAAACAGATGTGGTGCTCTTTGATTCATGGAGCGATTTCACAATTCCAGAGAAAATTTGGACTTTTAATAATAGCATGAAATGTCAGACATACAAGGTTTCTAAACTTTTAACCATGATTTTATAGATGGGGTTTTAAAAAATAGCCATAGTGTGGTCATTTTCATTTATACCAAAGGGTAAGTCAACTTTACAAACAACTAAGAATTTCTTGTTAACCAGTGACTCTACATCCCCATTTGGGAAGCTGGACAATAGGTTTCTGTCACAGAGGAACTATATTCTTGAGGATAATATTAGTATCTTAGTTGTCCTGCTTCCCTAAACCTGGGCTAGAAAGTGGCTGGAGCTTAGTTTGTCATATGGAATAACAGACTAAAAACTCCTGGCTGTTGCTATGACACACAATTTCTAAAATTGGTTAAAAGTGATATTTTTATATAACCACAAACCATCTTTTCAAGCTAAGATTCCAACCTCTCCTGTATGTCTTCTATTTATTTATCAGAAAAAAGCTCAATTCCAGTTATGGATTTCTGGCCTCTGCCCTTCGGCATACTGGTGTGGACAGGCTCTGGTGGATGTCCCGTTCTATGGCTTGATTCTCCTTTCAATATATTTAATTCACTTATTCATACTTCTGAGATTCAAACTTCCATGGGATCTCACGTTTGCTGCGGTTAGTGATCCTCCCCACCCCCCCGTCACATAGGCTAATAGAATCAAAAGAAAACTCATTTTCATGAACATTTTGTCATGAACAAAAAGCGTGTGCAAGAAAATTAGCAAATTGCCGTGGGCAGCTTTTTGACAAGAGGCTCTTCCTTCTCGTCACCCTGTATGCGGCCTGCCATCTCTAATCCTGCCTTTGGCTCTTACTCTTTGCAGGTGGTAGGCATAGTGGGTTGTGCGGCTTCTCTTATGCTCTTCACGTATGGTCTTTCATTCGTCTTTCGCAAGAGGAAAGCAAGTGATGGCCTTTTGGCTTTTGGCCTTTTTATTGTAAGTATCTATTTATCTCTATCTATGGAACGCTCTGTGCATGCGTATTTATATTAAACCTTATTAAAGTTTAATTTTTAAATACAAAATTAAGTGTAAATACTTTCCTTAGAAGAGACTAGAGGGGTTTTTTTGTACTTCCATTATTGTTATATCATGTCTATGGTTTCGAGCATTTTATATTCATTTTCTTTCTTCTATTTTCCATTTGCTCTTTGAGATTTCCCCTTTTAGAACTCTGTTTCTTTGGGGAACAAGCCAAAATATCAGTAGAAATCATGGCGTATCACAGCTGAAAGACTAGATCATTTGGGACAGTCTCTTTATTTTATGGAGTGGGAAAAACAGAAAAGAGCCATACTTGAATGCAGTCCTCTCAACTCAGTAAGGCTTTCCTCCTAAATAATTCTCCTTAATTAAAATACAAACAACTAAACAGCAAGCATAATAGGTGGCTATACAGACTAGTAAACTTATGGACTAATAAGATGAACAAGCAAGCAAGAAGCAGTTTTCTTAATAAATGGAGTAATTTATTTGTAACTTCAGGCATACTCGACTGCATCTCGTTTTCCACCACTCATTGGTATCTTGACAAGTTATCATAACTTTCTGACCACGTCAGATATTAAAATTCTCATTTTGCTAAATGAGATTCACATAACAACCAAAAAGGGGGGGAGGGGAGGTCAAGTCCAAATCATAATTTTCATAAGCGATATGCAACTCTCCCAGCTCCATCTCAGGTACGCCCTTAGTTTGGGACCAGTAGTGAGAAAGGGAGCAAGACCTATTTACACGTTGACTCCCTTTTTTGCTTCTGGATTTTCCTTTCTCCTTCAGTGTTATGAGGACAGGGTGGAGGCATTAGGAGAAAGCAACCAACGTTTTAACTCACTGGGTCTGTTATAGTTACATTGGCTGGCCCCCGTGAGCAGTGGCCAGAGGGTAGATTCACCATGAACAGGAATATGACGCATACAGTCAGCTGGAAAATTCAGTATGCCTGCAGAAATCCCAAAGCCTGCGAATCTGCTTCTTAGCCTTTAAGTTTCATTCCTGTGATACCTAATTATATAATTCCTCGGGCCAGTTTATCAATGGTTGTGCTATGATGGCTAAATGTCATAATAAGCCGTTGGAATTAGTCTTTGATCTTGATAGGTTTTTCCTTATGTGTCTCGTGATCAAGGTAAATTTGGTAATTTTTAAGTTGACTAAATTTTGAATTCAAAGTATTAATTATACGTAAGGAAATTTTTTAAAAATCACCAAATTTTGCATTATATATTCTGAGACAATTTTTTGGGTGTGTTCAAGTGTGGAATCATTGTATAGCAACCTTATTTATTCTCATAATTATTTTTGGTTATAAAGTCAGATGTATCTCGTGTTAATATAGGTACACCAGATTTCTTTTGGTCAGTATTTGCCTGACAAATCTTTTTTGCCATGTGTTTACTTTTAACTTTTCAGTATTCTTATACTTTAATATGAGTCTCTTATAAAACAAATACAGTCAATTTTATTTGTTGTTATTTAATTCAATCTGTCGGTCTCTGTTTTTAATGAGTTTATTGTCATTATCGACACACTTGAAGTTACACTATTTTACTTTTTGCTTTATAAATGCAATGTTCCTAAGTGATCTCCCTTTTTTCCTTGCCCTTTTTTGTTTGTTTGAATTTGTTTGTTTTTATTCCATATTTTTTTTCTTTTCTGGTTTGACAGTTACAAGCTATTTTTTATTACTTTGGTAGTTACTCTTTGTAGTAGTTTGCTAAGGCTGCCATAGTACAGTACTATAAACTGGTTGGTTTAAGTAACAAAAATGTATTTTCTTACAATTCTAGAGGCCAAAAATTCAAGGTCAAGGTGTTGGCAGGTCTGATTTCTTCTGAGGCATCTTCCCTTGGCTTGTAGATGGCTGTCACCTCCAATGTCTTCTCATGGTCTTTCTGTGTGTGTCTGTGCCCTGATCTCCTCTTCTTATAAGAACAATAGTCATGTTGGGTTAGGTACTACCTTAATGATAATGCTAATAAAGGTTAATACCTTCATTGCCCATTTAAAGGCTCTATAATATGGCTACATTCTTAGCTACTGGGGGATAGAATTTAAACTGATGTACTTCTGGGGAGCACAACTCTGCCCATAACACCCCTCAAAAGTTTTTTTTGCATGTCAAACTTAGCAAAGCCTAAATTTAATATCTTAATTACTTCCAACACCATATTTTGGTGATTTTATTATTAATAATTGCTTACTGTACTTGTGGGCTGTTGTCTAGTATTTTGGTTTCCCTTATTCAAAAATCCCCCAAATAAATATTATTATTATCATTTTAAGAATTTAAAAAGATTTATCTACATTTTAAATTAATCTCCTTGTTCATTATTCACACTGGGAGGTTAGTCTTTTTTTTTCCCTTTTGAGGTCAGTTTTTTAGCTTCTTTTTAAATTTTTAAAATTATTTTAATTTTTTTTAGCTTTTTCTTGCAGCACATCATTTGTATATTCTCCTAAGGTCAGCTAATGTAATTTTTAACTATTTATCTCCCTCATCTTTTTTTAATGTTTTTATTTTAAATTTTTTTCAATTATAAAGATGTGGGGTACACTTCAGGCTTAGGTATACAGACATTGATTATGCAGGTACCCTTGTTGATGAGGTGTGCCCCACCCTCTCCTGGCAGTTTCCCTCAACTGCCCATCCCTCCCCCCTCCCCTGACAGTTTCCCACTGCTGTCAGTCCCTTTCTTATAGCATTATAATTGTTCAAGGTCTGCTTATGAGTGAGAACATATGGTACTCTGTTCATTGTTTCTCAGAGACTGCGGTTTCGGCGCTAAGCTTAACACAGTTCAAACTCAGGCCACATTTGGGAGGCTTTTATATAGTACAAGCTTCTTTATAAGATTTAAAAGTATATTTGTAGAATTAGTATATACATTTAGAGAGTTGTTTCCAGCTTTAGATGGTATAGATGATTATCTAGAGTTACCAGAAATGGCCCAGCACAAACTTTGGACTGGGCCACATTCCTAAGGGCCCAGCATCCACTTTGGGCTGGGCTGCATTCCTTTAAACTGGTTCTTTAGCCGGACTCGGTGGCTCAGCCTGTAATCCCGCGCCTTTGGGAGGCTGAGGTGAGTGGATTGCCTGAACCCGCGGGTTTGAGATCCGCCCGGGCAGGTGAGACCTCATCTCTACAATAAATCAAAAAATCGGCCGGGCGTGGTAGTGCATGCCTGTAATTCTGGCTACTCGGAAGGCTGAGGCT